ATTTGTTAACCTTCAATGTACGATATTAAAATTTATTGTACCGTTCTTCTAGTTCCTTCACACAATATCTTCCTCGCATATAACAATGCACGTATATGTAGCTCACTCAGAGGCAGTTTCAAATCACTGACGTATGCGTGTTTGTGTGCACATGTGTAATATATTTATACTCATATTGTCCATATTATATAATATATTCATGAGCTTTTGTGCAGTTGCCTTGAAAATCACGTCTGGTAAGGAATAATGTCTTCAATATGACTAATATTATATTTGTATTAAAATACATGAATGCTGGTATGCACTTAGCACATCTTCTATAGTAGAAGGTTGGAGCCGAAAATTCTTATTTATTCCCTACATTGCCCACATATAACAAAGAATATTGGTATTGTGAAAAAATATTACAAAGAGAAAACGTGTTCCGTGAATATCGTCAATAAAGTGCAGCCAATAATTGTAGATTCCTGTGAATATTGCTTATTTATTGCATTTACTCAGAAAGAGAGCGAAAGCCTTAGCCATAATCAGAAAATAAATGAGTTTGATGTACAATACAAGTGTATTGTAAAAAAAAAACCTTTGGTGTTTGGGAATTCTATTTAATTAAGTAATTTTTACCTTTTTAAATGTTGTGTTATATTAACAATTTTGTTTAGTAACTGTATTTTAGAAAGCAGAAAAAATGCCAAAAATATTTCTGAATTAAAATTCCTCATGAACAAGGCGTAAATGGATTTGTTTTTCTGTTCCATATTTATTCTTCTCTTCTCACTCCCACTGGCCTTCTCCGTCGCTCCCTCCACCTACTTCCATGTAACTAATTAATGTTGAAATATTTCATTTACTTAAAAAATATCCTCTATATTATTTAAAGCATTTTTATTCCCTCTTTGCCTTCCCTTCATCTGCACTATCTTTCCACTGCTTTTTTTTGTACATCTCATACACAAGGCTTTGAACATCATGCCAACCGCAGAGTACACATATTTTCATTTAACAAAACCAAAGAACACAACTTAAATAGTCACTAATCCTAAAACCTTTTCCTTGGAATGTGAACATACGTGTACATACATACTCGTACGTACGGGCACTTGTTGCAAGTGTATTTGTGCACAGTTAATATGCATGTACTCTGTATGAGCATTGTGTGTCTGGTCAGTTGCAACCATTTTGCAGCTGCTGCCCGGTAAATACTCATATGCGCTTGCCATTGCATTCCTCTTCATTTTCATGAGAACTGTTTGCCCACCTACATGAGCATGTGTTCGTACTGTTTCTGTATGTGTATAATTCCACTTACGAATTTGTTACCACTGTGTTGTGGTCAACACTGCTTTAATATACTTCCGATTTTACTTAATCACTCTATTTTGTTGCTTCACTGTCTACACCGACAGCCAGCACATTGTCTGCAGAGGACTGACTTTCTAAAATAGCATCATCTGCTTTTGCGTAATTTATGTTTCTTGAGTACATACACATACATATGCATGTGGACATTTCTAATAAAAAAAAAAAAAAACTAATCCACCGCAGAAAACTTTGTGAATGTTCAAAAATTTCACCGTAAAATAACATTTACCAGCAAATTTCAATTTATTGTTCCAATTGGAAACAAATTTTCCAAAACGCAGAATTTGCTTCCCGCAATCTCTGAAAATATCTAAAAAAAAAAAAAAAAAAAAAAAAAAAAAAAAAAAAAAAAAAAAAAATCTTTAAAAAAAATTGTCGTTACAAATAGTGGGTGCAGCTCGTCAAATATTGAATACATCATATTGGGTACCCTAAACTTTTTGCTGAAGCTTCTTAAAGGCACAAATCCTTTTTGCCCTATGAAAAAACATCAGTTCTAACTTTTTGGATGTAGAGTGAGAACTTTAATTTAGTTGCCTGTATAGAAACTCGTTTCATATTAATTTTTCTGGTTTACTTGCGTACGATAGTCCCGTTCGACATGACGAAAATGCGGTCGTTGATAACCGGCTTTTTTGCCAGCAGTCGAAGAACAGAACTTGTGGTTTAAACAAGGTCGTGCCACTTGCCACAGAACAAGAATGAATATGGCTTTATTGCGATAGAAATTTCCCGTCCGCGTAATATCTCTTCTTGGCGATGTTGATTGGCCACCGCAAACATTTTAAAATTCAATTTTTATCGCTGTTAGCAAGGTTCCTATTAGTATTGCTTTAATCAATCTCTGTATACACAAACAATTTTTGTTTTTGGATCAAAATTCAAAAACAAATATCTATCACTGATACCAGTTGAGAAGCATTTCAGTTTAAACCAAACTATTCTCAATTCTTTTTTTTCGTCGGCTGGTATACAGCGTTTCATTTCTACATTTGATGCCAGCAGCAAACTGTTGCATATCTGCAGGCGACCACCGGCTACACGTGTACATACACGTATGAGACGAAAGAGATCTAAGACAGAAATGATTGGCTGACAAGCAGACAAACCCAAACACTTTCACGCTTGCTGATTCGATAAATTGCCTTGAAGGAGAGAAAAAATTGCAAACTAAACAAAAATTACAGTAAAAGTCAAATATGTACGTGTATGTATTCCACATATTATTCGGATGCATAGGCAACTCAGGTTACGAACCAAAAGCAGCGTGAAACATAGGGCAAATAAAAATGGGGGCACAATTGAATGCCAAGATCACAACTGAAACCCAAAAATGCGGCATCCATGTGCATATGTATATGTATGTATACATATGAATGTATATTTGCAGGATGCAGGAGACCATTTTTAAGGCTACTCAGCGCAAATATATAGTATGTATGAAGGCATGTAGTACATATGCACATATGTATGTACGCAGAGGAATCAAAATATTGATATTCAATTTGTGCCAGGCCAAAAGAGGGGCGACGGAAGCAGAGGCGTGTATATAGACAGACATAGAAAAACAAATGCAGTTATTGGGCAAGAGTGCAAGCAGAAATGAGCAGAAATATGCAGGCTGAAATTTGGCAACAGCGACCACAATGCATTGCCAGAAGTACGAAATAAGGCAAATGGGAACTGAAAAGGAGTCCAGGAATAATGCTTAATGGCATGGGAAGCCATTTGAAGTTATTCGATATATATATTTACACATATGTACGTATGTGTGTACGAGTGTGTCCCTAAAATAAGCAATTGGCAAACTCAAAAGCATTGAAAAGCAATTTTGTGGCTAATAAATCTGATTTCCGTTGGCAATAAATTGAGCAAAGCGCCAGACAAATACAACAAAACAAACAGCTATAGAAGGACAGTACAAGTGCAAGTCTAACACAAACCAACGATACCCAATAAACTAGCTAACATTTTCAATTTTTTCTACAATCCAACATTCCTCAAAGGGTCTCTCTCTCTCTTTTTGGGAAAAATGGCATCAACCATTCAAGCTAAGAACTTGTCTATGACGAAAGCCAGAAAAATGCAAATCTGGCAAAATTTCACTCAAATGCAATGCAGAACTTACACAAATTTTCGTGAAATATTTCTTTTCTTTTCATGTTTGTTGGGTTCATCTCATCAATACTTATTAATGCTAGCAAACCAATGCACCGAAGGACGGCCGAAATCTGTGGGAAATGAGTTGGCAACTGGTCAAGCCCATCTGTTTAAAAATTTCACCGGTTTGGGTACAGACTGGGCTTGCAAAACTAACAACAACATTTGTAAGCCGGAAATGAAATGGACATGTGAAATGGCAACATGCAGTCAATTGGCAGTGGCATTCGAATGGAGGCAGTCAAAATAACAGATAATTGCAATGGCAAGGCAAATTTTTTGATCTTAAATACCCGGTACCTACACACACACATACACACACTGTACAAGCTTAAATTGAGGTGAAAGGTCCTGGATTGGCATCGGTGCGCGTAAGGGCATCGTGTGCATTAGAACTGCCGGGTCATTAAAAGGACATTAACGCAAATTTGCAATGGAAAAGTGATTTAACGGCAAAATGTACATATGTATGTAGTACGACCATAGTTACGGTTAACAATAAAAAATAAAGCAGAAAATAGCAAGCAATAACATTTTAAAGAATGAAATAAAATAAAAAAGTTATTCAAACTAAAAACACTCAAAGCTCTGTTTCCTCAAAAAATAAATAATAATAAATAAATAAAGTAATAATAATGAAGGTAATAAACAAAAAAAAAATTAATAAAATTTATCAAAAAAAATTACAAAAAACACAAAATAAATAGATAAATAAATATTATTTACTAAATAAACAAATCAAGATCAAAAATAAAAACACAAAATTTAAAAATAAAAACTAAATAAAGCCGAAAATAAAATAAATGAAAACAATAAAAACCAAAACAACAATTACAAATTAGTAAAAATAAAAATAAATAAATATAGAAATGAGAATGAAAAAAATAAATAAGCAAAACTAATTTAAAGATTCAGAAAAATTTTAAAAATTAATAAAAAAAATATAGTAAAAAATAATAAACTCAAAAATAAATGAATATGAAGTAAAACAAAAAGACAAAACGAAATCAAAATTAAGAAGAGATACCAAAAAAAATTTAGCCAATAAATTAAAAACTAAATAAGATAATAATAATAATAGATTTAAAAATAAATAAAACCAAAATTGAAAAGTAGAAAAATAGGAAAAAATGATTGGCGCTTTGTAACGGCTCATAAATGGGGAACTTTTTATTTCAAGTCGGAAATACGATCGCAATCAGGAAGATTATTCTTGAAATGGTGCCTACACTGAGTTGTATAGTGTTGCATACATACATATGTATGTGTTATGACAAGTTCATCGGATAATATCTTAAAAACTCAAGGGAAACAGCTGACATGAGATCGGTATAAATTTCAAGACTCCGATTCTACTCTACGAACCTATCTTTGCAACTACGCCACACATACAAAATCGCATTTCAAATATTTATTTAAAGTTGTAGATACATATATGTGTACATATATGTATGTAGTACCCGCCCGTATGTCTTACTCACCTGTACATCAAAATTTGGTGGCTGTTGCTGCAATAAATTTCCAGGGGATTCCATTTGATTTGGTCCTTGCGTCTGATGATTCATCATAGGGCTCTAGAATATGGAGCAAAATGTTAATAAGTTGCTCATTATAATGAACTTTAATATAATATCTATGCTATGTGTATGCATGCATTCGCCAATGAGTTGCCTTACCTGTGCCATTTGCATGCCACCAACACCGTTCATTACAGGCGGTTGCAGTTGACCCATTTGCATTTGATGTGGCGGATACGAGTTCATTTGTGTACCCGGTCCGCCGCCTTGATGATCCATAGAATTGAGCATATGGTTGAAGGGATGCGTTGGGAAGCCACTGTGTTGTGTGGGATCGAGTAGAGTGGGTGGGCGTGGGAGGGTCTCTTCAGCCGGTGAGGGTTGCCGTGAGCCGGGTGTGCGGCTGCAAATACAAGAGAAAATCATGAAATTAATTAAGTTTAGTACAGAAAATTAGAATTAATAATAAAAAAAACTATCAAAGCTATAATAAACGAAAAAACTAGTTATATAATTAAAAGAAAACAAAAAAAAAATAACAAAATAAAATGCAAAAGTCATTGAAAAATAACGAAAAATAAAAATAAGTAAAAAGCAAAAAAAAAAAATCATTAAAACAGTAAGTGTTATAGATTAAAAAACGATAAAAATAGAATAGAAGATAAAAAAATATAAATATGTAAAATTTAACTAAAAGTAAATGAATAGAACAAAATAACCGAAAAAACATAAATAATCGTTACATTACACCTTATGAATTAGTTTATAAATCACGTATTTGATTATAATTAAAAATTTATTTTAAGCAAACATATGCAATTATTATTCTGTGCAACAGTTGATAAGCCATGGTAATATATAGTAGTTATTGTAAAGGTTTGAGTGCATCGAGCATAGTCACGACAAACACCACGAGAGCGATTGTACACACTAAGCAGGAACCACAACCTTAGTACTAAATTTCGTACACCAATTAGGACAATCCCCTTATTTTAAAACAGAAAGTGTTCCTCCATAGGTACTCAAACTAAAATAAGCTAATGTCGATTTATATCTTGGCTTAGCCAGTTTCTGAACCGAAAACAAATTATGGTATAGCCATTTACTTTACGGCGAACAGAGACGTATAGGTTGTGGTCTTTACTATCGAACTTTAATAAAAAAAAAAAAATTCAGTGAATTTATGTCAGTCTTAATAACAGCCTTTTACAAATCAAACAAATACGAGTCTAATAGACATAACGCACTGAAAACAAAACAAAAACAACAATCCACCATCAACAGGGGTGATTAGCAAACAACCCTAGCGGGTTAGGGGCTCAAGAATTTACCCGTGGTAAGGCAGTCGGGTCTTTATACCGGAACAACCCGGATTTTTATTATACGGGCCAACAACATTAGCAAATTAAACAATAAATGTCATCGTCATCACATTATAAATTACCAAGTAATTGTCTACAACTGCTATGCACATGCTTTTGCATTTATACCTACGTACATAGACATGTACACGGATATATTATATACTCGTATTTACTCTATGATACGAGCGATCAGTAAATCTAATAAGCATCAATGTGTTGTAGGTCAGTTATAACGAGTTTATTTCCAACTATTATTTATTAAGAGATTTTCGCTAACGGAAGTTGATAACGGTGATTCCATGTACAATTTTCAGATCAAAAGCTTCATATTAAATTGTATACCAAAATATGAAAAGTATGTATGTACATACATATACATAGAAGAAAAACAACTAAATTAAATAAGATGGAAATAAAAAAATTTAACAAAATATTATAAAATAAAATAAATAAAATTTAAACTATAATGATCTAGAATTAAATAAACGTAAAATAAAAATGAATTGAAATAAAAATTAAATCAAATTATTTAAAATGAAATTAAATTAAAATAAAACAAAATAAACAAATTAAATTAATATTTATTCAATTAAATAAAAAATTAAACGAATTAAAGAAATATATAAAAATTAGTATAAATAAAAATTAAAAATAAATCTTAATTAATTAAAATAAATAGAATTTAAATAAAGAAAAAATATAAATAAATCAAACATAAAATAAAATAACATAAGTTAAAATTGAATAAAATGAAGAAGATAAAATAAGAAATCAAGATAAATAAATAAAATTATAACAAATGAAGAAATATCAACATAATCCGATAATTATCACAAAAATTAACATTACAGTTGTATACATATGCATATACAAGAGTGTGCATTTATTTAGGAAGACGTTAAATAATATTCTAGCACACGGTTTTGAAACCCATTATTCTAAATTGCCACGGATTTTGAAGTTTTGCTTTTAACGGCAACAAAAGACTTGAGCAACAAACTCACTTTGACTCGAAACCAACACTCAAAAACAGTAAATCTAGCATTAAACAAAAATATGTACATATATATATATAAACAATATTTTTTAGTTGTATAAACATAAGGTGATGCCAGATGATGATGTGTGAATTTTCGAAGTGCAAAGAAAATGTTTGTATGTATGTATATTGGCAACCACTTTATTTGTAATTTTCTTTCAATTTCGGCTCTCGTCTTTCTTCCTTCTTCTGTTGGCTCTAGTGAATTAATTCCCGCCTTTTTTCTCAAGTCAAACACATTCACCGCTGACGCTTGCGTTTTGCCCATTCCTGCCGTGTGTTTTCTTTGCTCTCTCATTTCGACTCCACTGCGCTACTTTGTTGTCGTTGTTGGGTCATTAACACACAAACGCTGAAGTTAAAAGCTTGGAAACAGCTGCTGCTGCTGCCACTGCTGCATGTACATATGTATGCATGCTTGTAGCGCCGGACAGCCGGCTAAAGGCGTGTTGTTGCTGGGGCGTGAGTCACTCAGTGACACAACAGACAGCAGCAGCTGCCGAGCTACCGGCGGCAGGCTGGGCTTTGCTAATTTGCAGCGCCTAAAAAACGACAGTTGGACATGCAAATGTACATATATATATATATACCTACATTTTTATATGCACTCATATGCATTGGGATGTGTAGGAATATGTGCATCCACACATATGTATATGTACACGTCGCCACACAGTGTACCGTTATCATGCAAAAACATACATTGGGTTATCCAAACCAAACGCTCCATTTTCCCTACGATTCTAACGCATTTGAACGCAGAGCAAAATGTTAAATTAAATTTTTAAATTGTTCATAATAATGACGTATCATGCGAGCCGTTATAGAAGAAAACCAAAAATGCAGTTATAAAATTGTTAAATCGTGGAGTCTCCCACGAAGAATTCACCCCAAGTAGTGCGATGCAGGAAGTAAAATTTTGTAAATTAAATTTAAATTTAACACCAACAACAATATCAGCATTGAAATCCAGCGCAGAATCAGGTGCTACTTTGGACTGAGTAGGCAGTTAAAAGAGTAAAGTCCTCCCACGACGGAAAAGGCCAAACTCAACAAGTTGCCTATCATTCCCGATCCGCTATCTGATGCTCAAGCTGGGACGATGACAACAACATTTGATTAGTCGGCTCGGCGGATTTCGAGAGAAAAGTTTTGCGTAACACTTACAGTCCTCTACCCGCTGATAACGCCAAGTACTGCAGTATCCGCCGGCAGAGCAGAGTAAAAGGAAGGACTCAACTCCGTTGGAGGGATCAGATGAAGATGGGAATGGCTTGGTATTTCCGATTGGCGCCAAGCAGCGAAACGAAGGAATGAATGAAGCAGTATTGCTAACTCGACTACAATCGCTTATGCGGTATTCACGCCAGTATAGGGTGGGTCACTTGCCGCTTACTCTTTGAACAACGTTTTATTTGAACTTTGATACATTCGATGACTTTGCCGATGGGACAAATATTCAGCACATGGTTTACGATTTAAGAAAATCGGCAAATATTGAAATCTTACTTCCAAAATGGTGAGTCTTCAACGCCAGCTGCAAGAAAATTTTGGTGAAATCAATTGCAAAATATCTTACTCGCGTGAGGAGATTCGGAAGAAAATGTCATTTCGGTTTTCAGGTTGAGATTTTAGGCAAAGGTTTTCTGGTTTACTCAAAAATTGTAAGTCGTGTTTGAAACAAAAGGAAAATATTTTATGCTTAGCGAATTTAGCGAATTCATGGCCGCAGCAGCAACGCCAACAACTAAACTAATTTAAATTACTTCGCCAAGTAGTTGCCGAGTCTTTTATTAGCGTGTAAACTTTGCACTAATTATTTCAAGGCTTTACGATATTAGACGCACGCACACACATACGTGTACATACATACACACATTCATTCGAGGTATTACAAATCTACAACAACAACAATAACATTAACGCAAAATATATAGGTAGGTATGCAAATGTCAGAAAATAAACCGCACATTAACCTTCAAAAAATTCAGGAGGCGCATTAAAAAGCAATATAAATGCAGGGTTATCCATTTTGCGATCTCGAAAAAAAAACATAAATAAAATGCATTTAAATGGTTTTTTCCATGAAATTATTTTTCATGATGGAGTTGGGACTTTGGCATTATATCGGAAACACCACACACCATTCGAACTTCAATCCGCCGTGTTTGGTCATTTTTGACCGCTTTTGGCTCATATTGGGCGGTATCTCAGGCACAACTTGACGAACGCTGGTTTTCAAGTGCTCAAGCGTTGTAGGTCTTTCGCGTAGCCCCACGAAAAATCCAATGCTTGTTGTTCCAGCACCCAATCTACGGCAATGCACGACGTCATGAATGGTCGGCCCTATACAGGCCCTACAATAGCTGCCGATCCCGCTTTTCAAATTTCTTTAAAGTTTGACGAGTTGCTCGAGTAGTTGGACGATTTGGTTGGACAGTTAAGTTTAACAGATGCCAAAATACAGCTGACGAAATGGATAACCCTATTTTTTTACATAATATTTATGGTATAATAAAATGCACAGCGCTAAGGAGAAAAGAAAAAACAGGTTGGCTGTTGGTTATTTTTAGCACTAGTAGTAGTAGTAGTAGTAGTAATAGTAGTAGTTGTAGTGAAATTAAAAGGTAGTAATAAAACGCTGCTGCCCACAGAAACTGGCGTAAGATAGGGTGTAAGAAGGTACGCTTTGGAAAAGTAAATTAAAGTTCGAAAAATAAAAGCAAAATGGAATGCGACAAAAAATGTGCGAAAAAGAGTAGTTTCACTTTTTTTGGTTAGCCAAAACCAGACCGATGCGCGGCGAACAGCCGACTGAAGAGGAAGGTGGTGAAAAAAAGTAGGCTGAAACGATGGTTTCTTTTTGTGTGTCTTACTTTCAGTGCAACGGAATGGACATTGCGGTAGAAATGCGCACACTTAAACACGCACATTCATACAATTCAAAAGGCACAAGAGAGAAAGGCGTGTAAATGGTGAGAGGGAGGTTTCATTAAGCTA